TGGTGAGCAGCCAGAGCGGGCAGCATGGATGGTGCGTCATCGAAGGGCGCCCGCGGGCTGCAGACAGAGCGGTCGGAGCAGCAGCAGTCTGGAGGTCCCTCTGCAGTCTGCGCCGCAGGGTCTCCCAGGCCGGCAGCTCCAAACCACGATGCTGTCGTCCCCGGTGGATGCCGTCAGATGCAGAAGAGGAAATAATGTTGCCATGGTTTTCCGTCCATATATTACACAAGAGGATCCACTAGAGGCTGATGGGGGCCTCCACACGTAGGGCAGTGACCGGTGGCCCCCGAAAGTTCTGTCTGAGTCCTAATCCTACTTCTAAATGTGACCTTATTTGGAAAGAAGGGTTTTGAGGGGTTTTGCAGGTGTCGTGAAGTTAAGGAGTTTGAGATGAGATCTGACTTTTCAACCCCGACACCATCCCGGCCAATTCTCTTCCGGTCCTTGTGATGATTTGATTTCCATTGCCCAACGTTGGGAGATGAGAGGGATGAAGAAATCTGCCCGAGAGCACGAACGGGAACCTGGGTCCGCCGCGTGCTCCTGTTACTGTACATCTGAGTGCTCTGCGGACTGGTCTGTGGACCCCAAAGCACCTGAATCATCCGTGTGCATTTGCTAAACATGCAGCTTACTCGGCCCCACTCCCACGTATTCTGATTTTGCGAGCTCAGAGCTTCGGAAATGGCTTAAACAAATGCCCCAGGTAATTCTTACCTGCTGTAAAATTTGGGAGCCATCTGACTAGGAAAAGATGCATCCCAAAGTGAAATAATACATTAATAATATGCCTGGCATTGACCTATGTGCTTTCTCCCACTTAACATCCTTGAAAAATATTTGAGGAAAGTATTAGAATCCCCATTTTACAGATAGAAAAACCAAGGCCCTGACATACTCAATGTCACGCAGAGAGCTGGAGGCACCAGGGATGGAACCCTCATTTAAATGGGGTCCCTGACTATTAATATTTCATTGATAATTTGCTATTTCTAGAAAACATTTGTACAAGGTAGCTTGCTTGCCTACTACTGAGTTGCTTCATTCATTTATTCACTCATTCATTCATTCATCAATCATTGTTACGGAGGCCTCCTCTGGGACAGAGCATGACACAGCAGGAAGTCAGAAAGACGGGGGAACCTAACACCACCTCCAACACCTGTGAGTTTGGGAAAGTGGTTTATTCTCTCAGAGCTTCCGTTTCCCTCCTCCGTCGCTGTATTGGAGTGAGGGTTGCATGAGAGGATGGGTATGAGTCTCACACGTGGTGGGTTGACGGGTGCCCCCCCCACCCCCCGCCACCAAAAGACACGTTCAAGTCCCAATCCCCGGGACCTGTAAATGTGACCTTATTTGGAAAAAGCGTTTTTGCAAATGTCATAAAGAATTTCGACTTGAGCTGATCCTGGGTTTAAGATGGGCCCTGAATCCCATCACAGGTGTCCTTATTAGAGTGGCGCCTAGAGGGAGATCACACACCAGACACAGAGGAAACGATGGCAGGCGGAGGCAGAGATCGGAGTGGGCCATGTATGAGCCAAGGGTATTCGTTTGCTAGAGCAGCAACCAAGCACGGTCGCCCCTCGGTGTCTGCCGGGGACCGGTTCCAGGACCCCCGTGGATACCAAAATCTGCAGATGCTCAAGGCACTTATATAAAATGGCATAGTGTTTACATATAACCTGTGTACATCCTCCTGTGTACTTTAAATCGTATCCAGGTTACTTGTAATACCTACTACAACACACATGCCACGTAAGTGGTTGTGAAAACTTGTTTTTAAAGTTTTAAAATTTGTTTTTAAAATTTTTATTATGTTTTATTCCACATATTTTCTGTGATTGGTTGAATCCTTGGATGTGGAACCTGCCAATACAGAGGGCTGGCTGTGCCACAAACTGGGTGGCTTAAACGACAGAAATTTATTGTCTCACAATTTTGGGGGCTAGAAGTCCAAGATCAAGGTGTTCCAGCAGGATTGGTTCCTTCTGAGGGCTGTGAGGGAGGATCTATTCCATGCCTCTCGCCTGGCTTCTGGTGCTTTGCTGACGATCGTTGGTGTTCCTTGGCTTGGAGAAGCATCACTGCAATCTCTGCCTTTGTCATATAATGTTCTTCCTGTGTGCGTGTCCGTGTCCAAATTTTCCCTTTTCGTGAGGACATTAGTCATGTTGGATTATGGGTCCACCCTACTCCAGTATGACCTCATCTTAACTTAAATAATTACATCTGCAGCAAGGTGTGGTGGCTTACATCTATAATCCTAGCAGTTTGGGAAGCTGAGGAGAGAGGATCGCTTGAGGCCAGTAGTTCAAGACCAGCCTGAGCAACATAGTGAGACCCCATCTCTACAAAAATAGAAAAATGTATAGTCTCAAACAATAGCTGAAACTACAGGCATGTGGTGGTGCACACCTGTAGTCCCCGCTACTCGGGAGGCTGAGGCAGGAGGATCGCTGGAGCCCAGGAGTTTGAGGTTGCTGTGAGCTATGATGATGCCACTGCATTCTAGCCTGGGTGACAGAGTGAGACTCTGTCTCAAAAAAAATTATATTTGCAATGATCCAATATCCAAATAAGGACACATTCTGAGGTGCTGGGGGTTAGGACTTCAACATAGGAATGGGGAGTTGGGAGGAGCACCAAATTCAATCCACAACACCAAGGAAGGCCAGGGATTGCCGGCAGCCTCCAGGAGCTAAGACAGACATGGAAGGGACTCTCCCTCGGAGCCTCCACAAAGAAACAACCCTACTGACACTTTGATTTCAGACTTTTGGTCTCTAGAACTGTGAGCTAATACATTTCTGTGGTTTTAAGCTACTCAGTTTGTGGTAATGAGTTAGAGCAGCCCTAGGAAATTGCTGCGGTCAGCACAGAGCACACGAGAGTGCGTGATAAACTGGCTGCTGGCCTTTGCCCTGGAGAGGTGCATGAGGTCGGCCCTCCTCTAAGGACTGTGGCGGAGGCCTCTGCTAAGGTGCATGGGACCAGAATGGGTCACTAGGAGGGCGTTGCCTCTCTCCCGCCCCCAGCTCCAAGGACTTCACAGTAAAGTCTGTGGCCGAGTGGTCCCCCAATCTCTTGGTTGCCAAAGGGATTGCAAAGAGGAAGGAAGACTCTGAGGATGGGAGAGGGCAGGTTGGCATGAAGTGCCACGTCACCGTGGTCAGGGTCTCACAGGACAGAGAAAGTAGGCCGGCCTCCAGCACGATGACATAGCCATGATGTTGTTGGTGGCCGTGGTATATACGCCAAGGTCTGTGCTGCCCACCTCATATTCATGAGCAAAAGATATCCCTCGGGTAGTTGGTACAACTCCCATGTAAAAGAAGAGAAAATGGAGGTTCAAAGAGGGAAGTGACTTGTCTGAGATCACATATAAATAGTAACAGCTGGGATTTGAACATGGCCCTTGCAGAATCCAAATACCCTTTTTACAGATGAGAAGACAGAGGCTCCAAGAGATGAAGTCCTCAGTCCTAGGAGTCCAGGTCCCCAGTGCTCCCTCCTAGGAACCCATGGGCTGAGGTTCCCGCTTCCCTAGCCCTTATGGATCTATTTTCTGACCCAGGTGCACTTCCTAATGCAGCTCCTGCCTTGGGGTTTCCCGGAGTTCCGGTCGTGTATGAAGACTGTCTCAAGCTTCGGGAACTTCCGAAGGAACAGAATTGAGGAACAAGGAGAGGAAATAGGGTGGGGGCTGCCTGAGTAACATTAACCAGGGTCTCTCCTGACTCACAAACAGCCAAGGATGTGGGGTCACTGTGTTGGCGCCACCGGGGGTGAGCGGGAGCCTCCTGGAGTCCAGATGTGCACACTCTGCTCACGTCCGGGCTCCTCCCGCCCGCGGTCCTCTGCACGCAGGGGCTGGTCCCTGAGGCGAGGGACACAAGCTTGACCTTGGTCACAGGATGAGCGCGGCCCCCACGGGGTAAGGGCTCCGTCCCAGGAGACTGTCCCCCACTGCACATGCCACTCATAAATAGTGGGTCCCTAGGGACCACACTTCTGTCTGACTTGGCTACAAACCAGGGGCCCCACCACCCCTCCTTGGTTCCATAGTTCGTTGTGACGGCTCACAGAACGCATGGAAACACTTCCCTTACTATTACCAGTTCATCGTAAAGGATATTATGAAGGATATAAATGAACAGTCAAATGAGGAGATACACGGGGCAAGGGTCAGGAGGGCTCTATTGTAACTGCAGGAGTTGGGGCGCAACACCCCCAGGCACGTGGACGTGTTCTCCAACCCCGAGTCTCTCCAAACCCTGTTATTGAGGGTTCCTAGGGAGGCTCCGTTACTTAGGCACGGATGATCAAATCATGGGCCATTGGTGACTGAGCGGATCTCCAGCGCCTCTGCCCTTCCTGGAGCTCGGTGGGTGGAGCCGGAAGTTCCAACCCTCTAGTCAAGCCTTGGTCTTTCTGGGGACCAGCCCCCATCTGAAGATATCTAGGTCCCTCCCCCCCACCAGTCGTCTCATTATCATGCGAAAGACTCATTGATCCAGAGAGTCTAAGGGTCCTAGAAGCCCTCGTGTCAGGAACTGGGACTAAGAACCAATATTATAATAAAAGGTGCACCTACCACTCAGGGAATTATGAACGTTTTAGGAGCTCTGTGTCAGGACCCCGGGCAGAGACCAAACACATATTTCTTATTATGTGACGGGACATACAGGATATTTTGAGATTTTAAAGATTATCAGATAACGCCAGTGTCTGTCTCAGAAACACGTTTGCCAAGGGCAGAAAGAAAACGGGGAATACAAAGACAGAAATAGAAGGACATGAACATATTCATTTGTTAATGGGAAAAGAAACCCAAACTCTGTAAAATGAGCCAATGTGTGTGACTGCAGCCCAGGTAACGTGGTCTCGAGAGGGCCTGAGAAAATGTGCCAAGGCAGCTGGGTCACACTTTGGTTTTACACATTTTAGGGAGACAGGAGTTACAGGTAAAATATAAATCAATACGTGGAAGGCACACATCGGTTTGGCCTGGAAAGACAGGACATCTTGAAGTGGGGGTTTACAGGGTATGGGTGGGTTCAAGGACTCTTTGATTTCTGATTGGGCAACCTGAACATAAGCAAGGAATGCTAAGCAAGGAGTGCCTGTGGCTCGTGTAACTGAAGGTGAGATGAAGCCGGAAACGGGAGCTCAAGCCTGTCTCCCAGCTCCCTCCTCACGCTGCCTGCAACTCGGCCTCTGCAGGAGGTGAGGCAGAACTGGTCGCCGTGTCACCGGTCGGGGCTGAGTCCTCGGTGAGGGCCCTCTCCAGACTGGCCGGCAGGGAGTGGATCAGCCTCTCTCGGAAGTCCTGGCCCATGAAGACGTAGAGCATCGGGTTGAGGCAGCTGTTGAAGAAGGCCAGGGCGCTTGTCACGTTCACCGCTGCTATAAAGCCTTTGCTCGGACCAAGCAACACCTCGCGGATTCTGACTGTGATGATGAGGGCAACCAACTGGTAGGGAAACCAGCAGAGAAAAAAGGCAGCCACAACAAAAGAGAGGACCCGTAAAGGACGGCTGGACTTGATCAGGCCTTGTCTGTGGATCTTGGTGGCGATGAGCCCGTAGCAGATGGCGACGATGGACATCGGCATGGTGAAGCCAATGAGGAAGCGGATGGCCCCTCTCAGCGTGAGCATGGTGACGGACACCTTCATCTTCTCGACAGGATCGTTGGTCCAGGGTGAAAAGTCAATAGTGCAGACTACTCTCCCCATCGTTCCACGAGCCACGGTAGTCATACGAATGATAACCGGCAAGGTGAGGAGCAGGGCAAGAACCCAGGGCCCCAGGATCACCTTCTTGGCCAGACTGACGGTGCGGTGGTTCTGGGCCCAGACTGGATGCAGGACACAAATGCAACGGTCCAGGGCAATGAGCGCAATCAGGAAGACACTTCCAAACAGGTTGATGTCCACTATGGTATAAATGAGCTTGCACAGGAACCAACCAAAAGGCCAATGTCCTCCCATGACCTTCGAGACCACAGAGAAAGGCAAAGTGGAGGTGAAAAAGAAGTCGGCTAAGGCCAGATTCAGGTAAAAGATGGTGGTGACCGTGTGTGTCATCCGGAATCCAGCCACCCAGATCACAAGCCCGTTGCCCAGGACGCCAAGGACAAAGGTGACTGCTAATAACAAGAAAGAGACGATATCCAGGACAAGATAGCCAGCAGGTACAGCGTGAGTCCCTCCAGACACATTCATGGGGAGAGAAGAATTCGCCTCCATCCTGTGCACTCCTGAAATAGTTTAACGACAGCCATGCCTTAGTTATGCGCCTCCGTGCAGTTTCCCTAAGCCCTCATTTCTGCACCTGCCGGTTTTCCCACTCATAGCTCCCTCATCTTCCCCTGAGCTTCCAGCCCAGCCAGAACATCCTCACCGCTGGTCCTTATTCCTACCCACATCTGCAAACCGGCAACCGTGGCGAACGTGGCAAGATGGCGTCTTATCACCTGTTCCCACAGTTGCAGATGTGCACGCCACCTACCAGGTAGGTCACTTGGCTAAAGATGACAGGGTCTTTGCCCTCCAAGAGGAAAGCATCGGACAAAAGATGTATAGAGAAAACATGTACTCAAACAAACACGTTCATGGTGGCACTCTTCACAACGGTCCGAAGGTGGAAACAACACAAATGTCCGTGAATGGAATAGTACTCAGCCGTGAAAAGTGAAGCACTGACACACGCTACAACACGGACAAGGCTTGAGAGCATGATGCTGCCCGAAAGGAGCGAGACACTGAAGCCACATATTGTGTGATTCCACTCACATGAAATATCCAGAATAACCAAATTTGCAGAGACAGAAAGCGGATTAGCGGTGGCTGGGGCCAGGGAAATGGGGAATGGAGAATTATCGCTTAATGGGTGTGGAGTTTCTGTTTGAGATGATGAAAACGTCTGGAACTAGATATTGGTTGCAGATGTAAAGGACTGTAAATGTGCTTAATGCCACTGAATTGTACACTTAAAATGGTAAATTTTTTGTTATGTATATTTTGCCACAAATTTAAAAAAGAAAAAATAGTGGCGGATGGATATCAGAAAACTGGTGAGAGACAGCTTCGGTGGCCCAGTGTCAGACAGACATGGGCTAAGGCTTTCGCCCACCCGTGACTCTTAGCACAAGGACTGTGCGGCTTCTCCCTTCCAGACCCTGCTCCCCCTCTCTCTGAGGGGTCGTGAAAGCCTCTCCCTTTCCTCTGCCGTTGTGAAAGGCCAGGCATACTATTTGGTTCGTGTTCCAAGATAGGTCAAATGGATCAGTGATGACAGAAGATGGGTAATCACGTTTTATATCTTGTGGATTCTGTGCCAGAGGAAGTCAGAACAGGAGATCCCATTTCTACTCTTGTCCTTGTGATTACTTGGCCAAACAGATGGGATGCTCTTCTCCATCACTGGATGGGCTCAGTTCTCTTGGGGATGAAGTAGAGCATGACGGAAATATTGATAGCAGTCCAAATATATGTTGGAGGCCAGGTGTGGTGGCTCACGCCTATAATCCTAGCACTCTGGGAGGCCAGGAGATTGAGAAAAGCCTGAGCAAGAGCAAGACCCCATGTCTACAAAAAACAGAAAAATTAGCCAGGCATGGTGGTGCATACCTGTAGTCCCAGCAACTTGGGAGGCTGAGGCAGGAGGATTGCTTGAGCCCAGGAGTTTCAGTATGCAATGAGCTATAATGATTCCCTACACTCTAGCCAGGACGACAGAGTGAGACTCTGTCTCCAAAAAAAAACGTGTTTGGTATGAGATTTCACTGGATTAGGTATGCAAAGTATATGTCAGCCTCTTACCAAGAGCTGTTCCTTTCCTCTAATCCTTGCAGCAGCTTTCCTCAAATGGTTGTTATAAGGATGAAATGGATTAATACCACAAAGCATGAGCCAGTGATTGACACACAGTATGTACTGATTAATGGTAGGTTTTATAATATACCCATTTTACAGATGAGGAAACTGAGACTTAGAGTATGTAAGTTAATTGCTTAAAGTCACCCAGCTCACGCTGTCAAATATTTCAGCAGGGGTCTCTTTCTGCCACTGCCCTGCTACTCTCCCAGTACAGATGAGTTGTCTAATACAGTAGCCACTCACCGCTCGCAGCTTTCAAGCACTTGAAATGTGGCTAGTCCGATTTGAGATGGGCTGTAACAGTAAAACATCCATCAGATATGAAAAAAATAATGTGAACTATCTCATTAATAAATTTTGGAGGAAGGTAAGAGATGATGAAAGAGATTTCTTAATGAGTACGATGTATGTTATTCAGGTGACGGATACCCTAAAAGCCCTGACTTCACCACTATGTAATCTCTCCACGTAACAAAATTACACTTGTACCCCATGATTGTATACAATTAGAAGAATAATTTCTATATTGACTACACGTTGAATTGATAATTTGGCTATATAAGGTTAAGTAAAATATTTTATTAGAATTAATTTCACTTGTTTCTTCTTATCTTTTTAAATTGCCTAATTGACAATTTAAAATTACATATGTGGCTCACATTTCTATTGAACCTTGATACTCTGCAATCCCAGAGACAACATGGAGATGTCCGCTCCCCAGCCCCCGTTCAAGCACCGAGATGCCCTGAGAACCGTTTGTCCTCAAGAAGCTCTAAGGCAACCGTTCGAAAAGGTTGTTGCAATGAAAGCAAAAGATTCTGCAATGACAGGATGGGACGTACCGGAGACGAAAAGCTGTGCAATTATGTCTCCACCGTGGTTCCGAGCAGAAACCCTGTGATTTGCAATAAAGCACAAACCACAGTGGCTGCCACTGACCGAGCTCCTTATAAATGACATCCTCACCTTCTTGCCTCTGATTTCAGCAGTCTCCGCATGGACTGAAAATCACTGTCTCTGTGACAGAAGAGGAAACTCGGGCTCGGATGGGAAGTGATCAGCCTATGTTTCAAATCTGGGAAGGGGCAGAGCTGAATTCTGCTGATGGGTCCCACGTACCATTCAGGTCCACACTCACCACCGCTCAGGAAGGCGACTGCTTACCTCTTACGTTCATTTCCCCATGACCCATAATAATCACTGAGGCCTTCTGCTTTCTCCTGCAAGCTCCACACTCCTGTCCTACCCCATCTGTACCCTCAAGCTGATGCCCTGGCCTCACAATCCGCCAAGTACACCCTCCTGCCGGCTCCTGCCCAACTGTTCTCTGCTCTCACATCAATGACCAGAAACGAGAGCTCCTGCCCAAGACCTACCCTCTACTGGGCCCCCAAGACTCACTCCCTCATGAATGTAAGAAGTTCTCTTCTTCACTTATCCCTTCTCTCCTGCAGCATCAATATACTTTCTACATTCCATCATTTCCATCAGTGCCCTCATATGCTCCAAAACCTCTTGTGTTTTAAAAAAATCATTCTTTAACTCCACATCCTTCTTCAGCTCACTCCAAAGACTCAGCTGCACCCACCAGCCTGCCAGGGGCATGTTTCTTACCTGGACCTTCCACCAGCTGGGATTCTGCTCTGGGCAGTTCTAAGTCCCAGTCTCCTGGGGAAAGTGACTCAGGTTCTAACTGTCTCAACAGAAGACGCCAAAAGAGACGGGAAAGGTAACAGAACTGAAACCAATTGAGAAACAGGAAACAGCAAACCAGAGCCCCTTGCGATTCTCGAAGGCCCCAGAATTACAGCAATGTTCTGCCTGTCTTAATAGCGTTAGGGGAGTGAGCAGGGCCCTTTCAGAAACTCAAGGACTTGACCGTTTTCCTCAACCTCAATCCTCTGTGGGATGCGGAGGTTCAGCCCTCTCAACATCAAGGGTCAAGGAATCCAGGTGGCCGGGTCCACTTTTTCTCCACGCATCAAGGTAGAGAGAGGAGCAAGCACTGTGGTGAGAAGAATCAGAGGGTAGCAGCAATAGGCAGAGATGAAGATGAGAAAGACAGAAACTAGAAAAACACAAGGAGAGGCAGTGGAGGCACAGCAGCTGAGAGAGATGGCAGGACAGAGCCTTCCACACCCACACACACTGCCCAGGTTACTCCCATAATCCCCCACTCTGGTGGAAGCTCATTTGTAGGCTGTTTTTCTGAAGTATTAGAAATCATCCAAGAGTAGCAGAGTGATTTGGAGATCTGGGAAGGCAGATATAGACACGGATGTATCCTAAAAACATTATTCCTAAGGTCTTGTTTCATTAAGGCTGCTTTCAATTTTAAGTCATTTACAATTAAACCTAACAGTGGCCTAACACATTAACTGCCATGTGAGTTGTATTTACCTCATGCTAGTTTTGAGCCCGGAGACTTGTGAAGCATATGAAGACTCAATTCTCCAAAATAAATTCAATAAGTATGTCGTGAGTCACATACAACCCAACTGGTGTGCAGTGTAAAAATTGATTCTAGCACCATGTGAGTTGTGTATAACTCATGCACAGAAAACAGTAAAAAAATAACACATTTTTCATTAAATTAGAAAGGATCACTTTGTTTTTGAAGTTTTTGTTCTATTTTTGTAATAAAATACCATGGCCCCAGGGAAAAAAATTTCTTTCTAGTGTGGCAGTCAATGTGTTAAACCAAAAATGATATTTATGGTTTACTTTGTATGAATTTGGAGGTGGGTAGAACTAGGTTAGGTTCTATTTAAATAATTTCATCAAGAACCATGTTCAGGCCTAACGTAATGGCTCACACCTAAAATCCTAGACCTCTGGGAAGCCGAGGAGGGAGGATCACTTAAGGTCAGGAGTTCGAGACCAGCCTGAGCAACAGTGAGACTCCATCTCTACAAAAAATTTAAAAAATTAGCTGGGCATGGTGATGCGTGCCTGTAGTCCCAGCTACTCAGGAGGCTGAGGCAGGAGGATTGCATGAGCCCAGGAATTTGAGGTTGCTGTGAGCTATGATGATGCCACTGCACTCTAGCCTGGGCAACAGAGTGAAACCCTGTCTCAAAAAAAAAAATCATGTTTATTTTAATTCTTCCACTTTTTGTCATCCCTAATATGGCGGCTTTCTCCCTGGAGATTGTCACCTCATGGCTCCAAGATAGCTGCCACTGCTCCTGACTTCACACTACAGCATCCCAAGCCAGAAAGACGAG